CAGTACCCAGCAATTTTCCACTCCAACCCTTCCTCCTCATTCTCCTCCCCTACCCCAGGGCCCATAAAACAGCCAGAGCCTTTTGTTCAGGACTCTCTCAACGTGAGACAACACACACATCTGTGCTGATCCACCTGGCCCGTGACTGGTGTGCCATTTTCTTGGGCAATGAAACAGGGGAGAGTTGGCGTCTTCTCCAGTTTTAGCCTCTTGCTTATACTATCACTGTAAGTGGTTGAAATCTTCACTGTTACTTTCAGTTTGGCTCCTTGTTGCTTTAATTGGCTGCTCTGACTCCTGACAGCTCAGATCTCTCTTCCAGCTCAGCTTAGTTCCTGATAGGGTAGCATTAATCCTCCAACTTTGTTCTTCTTCAATATTGTGTTGGTTATTCTGGATCTTTTGCCTCTCATATAAACTTTAGAATCTGTTTGTTAAAATCCACAAAATAACTGGCTGGGATTTTGATTGGGATTGCATTGACTCTATAGATCAAGTTGGGAAGAACTGCAATCTTGACAATACTGAGTCTTTCTATCCATGAACATGGAGCATCTCTCCATTTATTTAGTTCTTCTTTGATTACTTTCATCAGAGTATTGTAGTTTTCCTCATGTAGATTTTAAACATTTTTGTTATATTTATACTTAAGTATTTTATTTTGGGGGGTGCTAATGTAAATAGCATTATGTTTTTAATTTCAAATTCTAATTGTTCATTGCTGGTATATAGGAAAATGATAGACTTTTGTATACTAACCTTGTATCCTGTAACCTTGCTATAAATTGCTTATTATTTCCAGTGTTTTTTTTTTGTTGTTGTTGATTTTATACATAGGCAATCATGTCATCTGCAAACAAAGATAGTTTTATGTCTTCCTAAACTGTATACTATTTATTTCCTTTTCTTTTCTTACTACATTAGTTAGGGCTTCCAATACGATGTTGAAAAGGAGTGACAAGAGGAGGCCTCCTTGCCTTATTCCTGATCTTAGCAGAAAAACTTTTAGTTTCTCACCATTTAGTGTAATGTTAGGTGTAGATCTTTGTGTTCTTTACTAAGGTGAGGAAGTTCCCCTCTATTCCTAGTGTGTGGAGTTTTTATCATGAATGGGTACTGGACTTTGTCAAGTGTTTTTTCTGTATCTATTGATATGATAATGTGATTTTTATTTTTTAACCTATTGTTGTGATGAATTACATTAATTGATTGAATGTTGAACCAGCCTTGCATACCCAGAATAAATCCCACTTGGTCATGATTCATATATATATATATATTTTTTTAAATATATGTATTTTTGGATTCAATTTGCTACTGTTTTGTTACGGAGTTTTCCATTTATGTTCATGAGAGATATTGGTCTATAGTTCTCTTTTACTGTAATGTCTTTGTCTGGTGTTGGTATTAGACCAGTGCTGGCCTAATATTTTAAATTCTTGTCCTGGTAATCCAACATCCCTGCTATATCTGAGTCTGCTTCTAGGGCTTGCTCTGTCTCTTTTTGCCTTGTAATTTTTTGTTGAAAGCCATACGTGATGTGTGCAGTGAAATGAACAGTGGCAAAGAGGCCTTTAGTGATATAGTGGGAAGGTATGAGGAGAGGGGAAGCTGTCTATAGTCTTATGATTAGGCCTTAGTCTTTTAGTGAACTTGTGTCCTGGGCTGTGAATTTAATAAATGCTTCTCTTTTTTTTAGCCCCTTAGGTAAGGCAAGAAGGCTAGGAGGAACTTCCCTTCTCCCAGGTTAGGCTCTGACAAAATCGTTTCTCTTGAGGGTAGTTCTTGAGAATGCTATCATGTATTTCAAAATGGTTCCTTACCCCCGTCCCTCTGCTGGAAGCATGAGGGAATTGCTCGCAAATCTTCAATGTGAGAGCTGGTAGATCTTCTGGAAACAAAACACAAAGCTGTGGGGAGACCCACTAAGACTGAATTCCGGTGGAGTTTTTGTTTGTTTTAAGATTTATTTATTACTTATTTATTTATTTTTATTTTTGGCTGCGTCGGGTCTTAGTTGCGACACGCGGCATCTTCGTGGAGGCATGCGGGATCTTTTTCATTGCGGCGCCGGGACTTCTCTCTAGTTGAGGTGCACGAGCTCAGTAGTTGCTCCGCGGCATGCGGGATCTTAGTTCCCTGACCAGGGTTGGAACCCGAGTCCCCTGCATTGTAAGGCGGATTCTTTACCACTGGACCACCGGGGAAGTCCCCTGTGGAGTTTTTAAACTCTCAAATTTGTCCGCACTGAGCCTCCAGCCACTCAACAATTAGAGGTTTTTTTGTTTTTATTTTGTGTGGGTTTTTTTTTTTGGCCTTGCGGCATGCGGTCCCCAACCAGGGATCAAACCTGTGCCTCTTGCAGTGGAAATGCAGAGTCTTAACCACTGGGCCGCCGGGGAAGTCCCAGAAATTAGAGTTTAGATTTTCCTTCCCTAGTACTGGTTTTCGCAGAGCTTTCTACTCATGGGTTTCTGCTTTGGTTAAGTTGTGATTCTCTGTATCCACCTGTCTTTTTCTCCATTTGGGGGGCAGCAGTTTGCCCTTTCACCTGAATTCTCTGACAGATCTAACAAAAGCTGTTGATTTTCAGTTTGTTCAGCTTTTTACTTGTTTTTAGGATGGAGTGATGACTTGCAAGCTTCTGACATGACAAAACAGTAACTGGAAGTCTTTTATTTCTTTGACCCATGAATATACATACATACATGTATATGTGTGTGTGTATATATATATATATATATATATATATATACTTTATTTTTATTTTTTGGAATAACTTTAGATTAACAGCAAAACTGAATAGAAAATACAGATGTCCCATACACTCCCTGCCCCAACACATGCACAGACTCCCCCATTATCAACATCCCCCCACTAGAATGGTACATTTGTTATCATTGATGAACCTACCATCATTATCACCCAAAGTCTGTAGCTTACATTACAGTTCACTCATGGTGTTGTACATTCTATGGGTTTGGACCAATGTATGTTTTCAAAGTGAAGTAATTCAAATGATGTCATACTTGTGTCTTGGAATGAAAGGAGGAATGATAAGTCTCTATTCTTGTTTTTTTAAAAAAATAGATTCCCTAAAATATTTCTTAATAGAACAACAGAGTATATCCAAACATATTCACAGGAATGAATTTTCCTTTGACTTGGCTCTGGGATTTATGAAAAAACAAACAAACAAACAAAAACTCTTTGCCACTCTTGCGGCCGTAAGTCTTGTTATCAGTTTTGAACAGACTAGGGCTGGCCATTTAATGCCATGAATCAGAGAATATAATTTTTTTTTTTTTTTTGCGATACGCGGGCCTCTCACTGCTGTGGCCTCTCCCGTTGTGGAGCACAGGCTCCAGACGCGCAGGCTCAGCGGCCATGGCTCACGGGCCCAGCCGCTCCGTGGCATGTGGGATCTTCCCGGACCGGGGCACGAACCCATGTCCCCTGCATCGGCAGGCGGACTCTCAACCACTGCGCCACCAGGGAAGCCCAGAGAATATAATTTGAATTGGGAGCTCCGTTCCTATCAAAAGTAAAATGCTCCTGGAGTGAGGAAACCTTTGAACCAGCCAGAGCCTTTCCCCCTTAATATCAATGGGCTCTACTGCAAGGAGTCTATGGGCCAGGAAAGGAGAGTTTGGGTCCTGTCTGCCACTGTCTGACAGGCAAGTCACCTGACTTCTTTGGACCCTGTTCCCTCAGCTTTAAAGCCAGAGGCTTGGGCTAAATAATCCAAATGTCCCTAAAGCCAAGATGCTAGGCTTGTGAAAAATGCTGACTCTGAAAAAATAAAATATTGTCCAGTGTCTACAGATTCAGGCAATTCCAGGGCCATTCTAAGGCAAAACAAAGCTCGGATTTAATGGGGGGAGAACTTCTCTTCAAAGACTTCTGCTTAAATACAGAAATAAGGTAGATAACATCAACACAGTCATACGTTAGTCTATTTTATGCAATGCGAAATTCCCTCTTAACTTCCCAGATCGCAGTTACATCCTATTGCAAAAATGGGACTCAAGTAGACTGTGCCACTATGAGACTTGAAATAAACCTGTGGTATTTCTTGGGTACCTAGGCATTGTTAGGAACAGCCAAGTATGTTAACTCATTTTATGCTTATCACAACCCAAAAAAGGAGTACTGTCTCCAATTTTGAGTTCTGGGAACGGGGGTATTAGAGAGTTTGTGGCTTGCCCAGGTCCCACAGCTAGTGAGCGGCAGAGGATTTTAAATTTGCCTGCGCATTAATGCAGGTTTCCGGAATCTCAGGAACCTCCTCTGCAGAGCTTTATAAAACAGAAGGTCGTAGCCCACTAACATCAGGCCAAAGTGCTGTGTTTTCTCTGGGCCGGGCCTTATGTTGCACACTGTACACGGATTTTCTCAGCTCTCACAACAACCGTACGAATTAGGTACTTTAGTACTTATTTATTGTTTGAAGGGCAGACTGTTCTAAGACAAACCTGCAGAGCTGCCGGAGGTGGGCGTTACTCGCGCCGGGCAGACACCTGCAGCACTGATGAGAGTGTGGGGAAACCGGGGGGAACTGAAGTGATGGGGTGTCTTGGTTTTCGGTTCTCTGAAGCAGTGAGGAGCCTCTCTTGCTGTAGTTTCCGCACACTACTGTCTGTCCCTGAGCTCCCCGAGGCTGTGCGCCACTTTGCGCCCAGAGATTGGTGTGTCCCAATTAGCGTGCACGGTTCTCGCCTCCCGTTCCGACGCCGGAGCAGCTGGAATAAGAGCCGAGGAGGACCCAGACCGCAGCGGTCCGAGCCCGGAACCATGCACGAGGTGGCGGCTCCGACACTCGCGACGCCGAGCTTCGGCCAGTTGGCACGACATCCGCGCTCCCAGCTAGCCTGCGGAGCCTGGGGAGCAGCGGAGGTCCTTTCAGCTCAGCTGACCTGGGGGTGTGGCCGAGAGGCGGGGGCGTGGCCGGGAGCTGGGGGCGGGCCCCGGGGCGGGGAGAGCTAGAGCCCAGGCTCCTCTCGAACAGAGGGTAACTTCCGCGGCTCTCCGAAGCGCGGGGCTTCTACCCCCGTGGGTGGGTGAAGTACCGGCCACCGGCATGCTCCTCCGCCTGCTCCTGCTGCTTGCGTTGTGCGGTGCGGGCTCCGCTGCCATGGTGGTCAGCGTCAGCTTGCGGGGAAGCTGGAGGATCCGCAGCGGGAACGGCTCGCTGGAGTTGCCCGCGGAGGTTCCCGGTTGCGTGCACAGCGCCTTGTTCCACCAAAGGCTCATCCAGGTACTGTCTGCGGCCTCCCCGCCGGGAGCCTGCGCCCGCGTCCCCCTCGTGGTGAGAGGGGCCCAGGAACGGCCTGGCAGTCCCCGAGCCCGGGGCTGTTCTCCTCGGTTTGGCACTAACTTCCCCTTTGCGTCTTGTGGTCTAGGGGTGGTGGTGGTGAGGGGGTGGGGATGGGGACGCCGAGGCAATGTATCTACTCTTGGCGAAGATCACCGCTGGGGTCCGGGCTAGATGGAGGCTGACCCACGCCCACGCTGGGACAGCAGCAACTCAGGAAAGCGGAGGTCCAGACAGTTCTACTGGGGGTGTTATTGCCATAGTTCTCCAGTGAAGCGTAGATTAGAAAGGACGTGTTGTCACTGACAAAGCCTAAAGCGGGGGATTATTGTTTCAAATACCCGAACACTGCAGAGGACAATAGTCTTTCGCCTAGTAAGGGTTAACTGTATTCATTAATGCCTCAGTTTTTCATTTTCGCTTTTAGGCACCAGGGAGTCAGATTTGGAATTGGTGCAGCAGCACATAAGCTGAGGAGAATGAGACCTGCAAGTGTAAGGGTAGGATTGTCAGTGCTAGCGTACAGGCTAAATAATTTTTAATGCTGATTGGGATATGAAGAAAGATGCTGTTTCCTCTCAGGGCGTGTGATGTGATGTGATGTGTGTGTCCCAATAGATGCTTCAATTTCTAGACTTCTGGTGGAGGACGTTTTCCTGTTTGGCCGCCTGTGGTTAGAGGTTTGCAAACAGACTGCCACCTCCCACTGCTTTTTCCTTCCATCTGCTGCACATCTTTAATGGCTTTGCTAGGGACAAGATGTACTTGATACGTGGTTTGCATGCATTGTCCCAATCCGCATAACAACTCTAAAGAGTAAGTCTTCTTATCTTCATTTTATGGATGATATGAATTATGGAGCCCAGAGAAGTTAGAGAATTTTCCCAAGATCACACAGCAACTAAGAGTGGCAGAAATCGAGTTATAACCCAGCCTGGCCTGACTACATAGCCTTCTGTACTGTGTGACACTTACCCTGTGTGACACATTGACAAATCATGTGTTTTTAAAGCACTGGAGTTGACTGTCAGGAATATAATTCGAAGTTTACTTAAATGACAGGACAGTCAACTAGGGTTATGCAAAATTTCTGATCTGGTACAATTAGCCTTTTTTCAAAAACGTGTATCAGAAAGGAAGCAAATGTAAATGACACTGACCATGGTCCTGTTTATTTTTTAAGTAAAGAATCCTCAGACTTAAGTATTTGAACTATTTTTAGTTAACAAACTACTTATGACATGGACCACAGGTGACCTTGGTTACCCCAAGGCTTCACTTACCCATGCTTTGAAAATGCCTGTGTTTCTTTTGCAGGGTTTCTCCTTGCCTCATTTTCCTGATTAAATTAAGGCAATGGGAAATCATTAGTGGCTGTAGTAAATCAGATTACTGTTTCATGTTATAGGGCTACATATCAAGAAACAATGTTTGGTTACTCGTTAATGTGAATGATGTGCTCACAGAAGGAAATAACTGACTTTTCCTCGTGGGAACAATTTACAATGTCTGTTAAATCTGTTAATAAATTCTAAGGAAAAGTTTAAGTTTCAGTAAAGGTAGATGTAGTTCTTAAATGGTAGTGGGATGAGAGATGGGGAGCTTTTGGGGATTGGGGAACTCCAGGCCTATTGACAATAATCATCAAGTATCATTATGGAGTAATATGATGTTGTTATACTACCTGCTTTATTATACCATCCCTTTTTGGTGTTGACCTAGGAAATATTTTATAGTTTAGAGCAGACACTGGTCCAAATACAGTGTTTACATGAGAACTTGAAACATATCTTGCTGAAGTCATTCACCTAATTATCTCGTAAATATTTATTCAGTACCTCCAATGTGGCAGGCATTATTCCAGGTGCTTGGAATCAAGTGGTGAAGAAAACAAAGTCTTTGTCCCAATAGACATTCTAGTGGAGGAGATAGACAATAAACAGATTAATAGGTAATACAGTGACAGCGGGTACACTGAAGAAAAATAAAGCATGTTAAAGGAAGAGAGAGCGAAGGCTTGTTGGGAAAGATTCTATTTTAGAAAAGGTGGTTAAAGATAGCCATTTTGATAAAGATCTTTTGATGAGTTCAGTTTTAAGCGGAAGCGAATTCCCAGCAAAAAGGAAGAAAAGATGGCAGTGAGGAGGGGAGAGCCCTTGAGGCAGGAACATGCTTGATGAGTTCCAGGAATAGTAAGCAGGCCAGGTGGCTGTAGCCCTGTGACCTGGGGGGCAGGTGGATGATTTCAAAGTAGCCATCTGGGGCAGATCATGCAGGGCTTGTAGGCCATTGGGAATAACTTTTGGATTTTATTCTGCAATGATGGGAAGATATTTTTAGCTACCTTTTAGTTAGTGTACATCCTTATTCTCTTGGACAAATTTTTAAGAGTGGAATTGTTGATTCAAAAGAGTATACATTTTTTTAGTTTTTTGCTATGTACTTCTAAGTTGTTCTCCATAAAAGTTGTACCAGTTTTACACTCCCATCATGACTTTATTGGAGTACTTGTTTTAAGTGCTAGATTTGGATATTATTTTAAAAAATAAAAATAGAAACAATTTACTTTCTAGTGAGGTGGTTAAACACCTTTTTTTTTTTTTTTTTTTGGCGGTATGCGGGCCTCTAGCTGTTGTGGCCTCTCCTGTTGTGGAGCACAGGCTCTGGACGCACAGGCTCAGCGGCCATGGCTCACGGGTCCAGCCGCTCCGCGGCATGTGGGATCTTCCCGGACCGGGGCACGAACCCGTGTCCCCTGCATCGGCAGGCGGACTCTCAACCACTGCGCCACCAGGGAAGCCCTAAACACCTTTTACATGTTTATTTCATGCTTATTGGTGATTTGGGCTTACTTATTCCTGTTTTTTATCTATTTTTCTATTGACTATTCATCTTTTAAAATATAGATTTGTTAGGCCTGTTGTTATATATTTTCAAAAATTTCCCATTTATTAATGATATATTTTGTCATATACATGTTTTAAAGTTTTATATGTTGAAATCTTTTAAGCTTTTTTTCTTTTATGATTGTTTCTGTCTTTGGTATTATGCTTTGGAAGTAATTTCCTCTCTCCCAATTAAATAAATATTTACCTATATTTCCTCCTTTTAGTATTATAATTCCTCTTTTGTATCTAAAATTTTGATCCATTTGAGTTTTTTCAAATGGTTAAACAGTTTTCTATATCAAATGATTTGAACAATTTCTCTGTTGTCCACTGATACAAAACATTACTTTTATCATGCACAAAATTCTTATATACTGAATTTTCTTATTCTCTTTTAAAATTCTTTTAAAAAGAGTAATAAATGTTTAATACTTACTGTACAAATACTGATGCAGAGAAATATAAAATATAAAGAAGGAAAAAGCTAATAAAAAGCATACTATTAAGCAGAGGTAAAAATTTTCATATATATCTTTCCAGACTTTTCTAAGTATATACAAACAAATATAATAATATAAAGATGAAGTCAGTCCCTGAGATGGTTTTGTAAGCTACTTCTTCATTTAAAATATATGATGAACATCTCTCTGTATCTATAGAACATCTCTCTGTATCTATAAATGTCTATAAATATAGATCTAGAAAAATTTTTAATAACTGCATAGACTCCTTTATAAAGTTTTTCTCACTCAAAATATACACTTAAAAATAGAAGAAAATATATTGTAAATATACACATACACTACTAAAAATGGTAGGTACGAGATGCAATGATCATCTGGTATAAAAGTGTAGGTAGGGGCTTCCCTGGTGGTGCAGTGGTTGAGACTCTGCCTGCCGATGCAGGGGACACGGGTTCGTGCCCCGGTCCGGGAAGATCCCACATGCCGCGGAGCGGCTGGACCCGTGAGCCATGGCCGCTGAGCCTGCGCGTCCAGAGCCTGTGCTCTGCAACGGGAGTGGCCACAGCAGTGAGAGGCCCGCGTACCACACACACACACACAAAAGTAGGTAAATATGGCGTGAGGCACTGAAGCACAGTTGGAAAAATGTAGACTTTGGTGTCGGACTGAGTTTGTTTCATGCCTGGATGTACTTCTGCTTCATCATGGGACCTCAGGAAAGACACTGCATCTTTTGGAGCATTAGTTTCTTCCTCTATAGAACGGTATTTACAGCACATCTTTGTTATGAAGATAAGAGTGAATGAGTGCCTATCTTGGAGGCTGATATAAAGTAAATGGTCAACAAGTGATACTGTTACTGTCTTTAGGGTTCATGGGTTTGCTTATGAACTCAGTCACTTACATGGGTCCTTAGTCGTCAGACGTAATGCTGAACGTAGTCCTATTTGCTTTAAATAGGACTCAGAATTTTAATATGAGCAAAGGGGATCAGACCACTCTGGAACCAAATTAAGTTGGTTGCTTAGCATGTGCAGTAGTTATTATAAATGTAATCTGAGTCTCTGCAACTTTTAATTTAGGGAGGTAGGCATTTGCCCTTAGAGCAATTTTTTTAAATAAATTTTATTTTTTTGGAGCAATTTTAGTTTCATAACAAAATTGAATGGAAAATACAGACAGTTCCTATATGTCTCCACACATGCACAGCTGCCCCGCTATCAACACCCCCTACCAGAGTGGTACATTTGTTACCATCAGTGAACCTTACAGTGACACATCATTATCACCAGAAGTCCATAGTTTATGTTACAGCTCATTCTTAGTGTTGTACATTCTATGGATTTTGACAAATGTATAATGATATGTAGCCACCATCATAGTATCATTCAGAGTAGTTTCACTGCCCTAGAGATCCTTTGTTCTCTGCCTATTCATCCTTCTTTCCTCCTTAATCCCTGGTACCCTCTGATCCTTTTACTGTCTCCATAGTTTTGCCTTTTCCAGAGCATCATATAGTTGGAATCATACAGTCTGTAGCCTTTTCATATTGGCTTCTTTTAAGTAAGAGAAAATATTTAACTTCTAAATTCTGTTTGTCTAGAAAAAATTTATCTGAGAAGATCACCCTCTGGAGCTTGACATGCAGCTTCCTTCAAGGAGCCGGGGGATGGGAAGGAGTCTTGTGCCCCACAAGACCGATCATCACCCAGCCCCGAGGCTCCGCAGGTTAACATCTTGCAACTGCATCAGCCTTCACACCTTTCTTGTCATGATATTTTTAAATATATTGGATTAAGTCCACAGTGTAGAGTTATAAATAGGGCTGGGTAGAGACACATGGGCAGGCTAATAACTAGGAGCCTCTTCAAACCCGTGTCCTTAAATATTTACTCCATGTTAGTTCCGTGGAGAGGCTGAGTCCTGCGTGTGGGGAAGAGAAGAAAAGGAAGCAAGTGGGCTGGGCCTGGCACACCCCATTTAGCAGAACAAAAGCTCACCATTAACCAGACCTTAAAAGTCAGTTTGGTGATTATTGGTTGTTATTATTATTACTATTTTTTCGGTACGCGGGCGTCTCACTGTTGTGGCCTCTCCCGTTGCGGAGCACAGGCTCCGGACGCGCAGGCTCAGCGGCCATGGCTCATGGGCCCAGCCGCTCCGCGGCATGTGGGATCTTCTCGGACCGGGGCACGAACCCATGTCCCCTGCATCGGCAGGGAGACTCTCAACCACTGCGCCACCAGGGAAGCCCTATTGGTTGTTATTAAATCTCGTCAACCACTGACTGCTCTTTTGGTATCTTTTTTTTTTTTTGGCTGCGTTGGGCCTTCGTTGCTGCGCGCAGGCTTTCTCTAGCTGCGGCAAGCGGGGGCTACTCTTCGTTGCGGTGAGCGGGCTTCTCATCGCAGTGGCTTCTCTTGTTGCGGAGCACGGGCTCTAGGTGCGCGGGCTTCAGTAGTTGTGGCACGCGGGCTCAGTAGTTGTGGTGCACGGGCTTAGTTGCTCCGCGGCATGTGGGATCTTCCCGGACCAGGCCTCGAACCCGTATCCCCTGCATCGGCAGGTGGATTCTTAACCACTGGGCCACCAGGGAAGTCCCCCCACCCTCTTCGTATCTTATCAAAGTTATTTCTTCCAGGCAGGAGCCGTTTCTGGCTGATGCCTTTCTCTCCATTTTGACACGCACCCCGTGATGTTATAGCGCCCCTTGCGGATTTGTTCTCTGGGCAAGTGCTCAGCTGGTTGTTGCCAGTGGCCAGCCCTTACCTGTGTGGAACTGAGACAAAGTTGGCTTTTCCCTCTCAACGTGGAGTTGCAGTTCCTGAGGCAGTCACCCTTGGACCTGTCCCAGTTGGAAGGGAGAAGCCCTCTGAGCCTGTGCTGTGTCCCTCTATGTAGCCGTGGTGTTGTTCACAGACATTAGAACTGAGAAACTTCTCTTACCATTTTCTGTTCCACCTCCTGCCTGGGAGCCGTCATCTGAGAGGTAAAGGGTAGAAAATGAGTAGGAGAAGAAAGGGGTAAGGATTATGGAAGGGAGGACTTGGGGCTGGACCCTGAGATGGAAGAGCATCTGTGAACACCCAGCAGGCCAGTTGTCTAGGGCAGAGGGCCAGATACTATTTTAGGCTTCATGGGTCATTTGGTCTGTGTCGTGTCTACTCAACTCTGCTATTGTAGCATGAAAACTGTCGTATGTAATTTATAAAGGAATGGGCCTGGCTGTGCTCCAGTAAAACTTTCTTTATCGACACATGTCCATTCTTAGCTCACTGGCCATACAAAAACAGGCAGTGAGCTGCATTAGGCCTATGGGTTGTAGTTTGCTGACCTAGTCTAGGCTAATACAGGAAACCTGAAGTCTGTAAGTTTGACGGTATCTACGCTGCCTGTATATTCTCTGCAGAGATCCTTTCTGTGTTCACTTAGTAAAGCTGAGTGAAAAATAACTTTGTAAATGCTGAGTAAATCCAAGGAGTGGGAGTTTTGCTGATCTTTGGGCAGTAGAGGAGAAGAAGTGTTCCTCTTGAGGCCAGCTGGGATAGTGGCAGCAAAACGCAAAGTGAGAACCAGAGGGCGGTGAGTGTCTGATGGCTGCGCACCATAAGAAGTGCTGCCGTTCATTCTCTGCTGATACCTTGCAGGTTCTGTGCTTGGTTTTAACAGAGGAAGCCACTCTCCATCTCCACACATGTTCCTTCATAATGAAGCTATGTAATAGTTGTATCTCAGAGCTCTTTCATTTCAGGTATTTTGATTGTGTTGGGCTTTTTTTTTTCCGTTTAAAATTATTTTTAGTATTTTTAGTATGCTCATGCCATGGCAACTTTGTTTGAAAGGTAATGGTCTCTTAAACAGATGGAGCTTTAGCTTTGAGGATGGGATGTGTCGGCATATGAAATGCTTTCACTCTTAGGCCAAGAGTTCATTAATTTTTAGGTAATAAATAGCTATCATTGATAGTTTATTTCATTAATTATTTTTACATATTTAATCACCTACCATAATTTTTATCAACAGGATCCTTACTACAGATTTAATAACCTTAACTACCGATGGATCGCCTTGGATAACTGGACCTATATCAAGAAATTTAAAATCCCTTTTGACATAAGGTACTTATGTGTGTATATCTATATTTATATCTATATCTATCTATTCAGTTATTATTATTATTTGAACTTTTGTTCTTTTTCTGTCTGCAGTAATCTTTTGTTTAGGTTGCGTATCAGAACATTGTCAGACTAAAGCCTGTACTATAAAAGTGAATATATATGATTTATGTTTTGATTTGTGTATGAGGGTGGTGCCACTGATCATTAGTCACAAAATTATGTCTTTTTTTTTTTTTTTTTCAAAATTATGTCTTATTCAATCATTTTTCCAGTGGTTATAATGGAGTCACCTCGACCTAGTCAGTTCTCTTATCTGCCTTTCCTTTTCCCTGCCCTCCCAGTAATCCATAGAGTGTATATATTTACAATATTGTCAAGTAGGATCAGAGATACATCCTTTGTTTGGTGTAGTGTTAACCAGCCACTGAAACTAAGGCATTGGCCTTAGATTATGTCGTGAGGCCACGAGGAAAACCATGGTATAGTTTTCAGTAATGTTCTATGTAGCAGAATGTAACCCAATTGTATCTACCACCATTATTGCTAAATAAAAAAAAAAAAAACCCTTTTGTCCCTTTAATATGACCTTTTTTTGGGTAATTATTTACTAGCTTCTTAAAAAAGAAATAAAGCCAGAAAATAGTGCTCAATATCATGGAGTTACTGTGTTCCAGGCTCTTATTTCTAGATAATACTTAAAATATCTCTAATAGGGGGTCCTCTTTCACCTTGAACTCAACATATCCGAAATTTAACCAATTCACTTTCCCACTGAAAGCTTGCTTTATAGTCTAGCAACCTCGTTATTTCTCTTACTGTAATACCTTCTTCCCAATCTTCCGTGCCCAAGGAGTTTTTGGCTCATCATATCTTTTCTTCATCTCCCTGTATTCGGTCTGTTTCTGAGTCCTGTTAATTTTTGCCTATCATTTCTCTTGGTTCAGCCCCTGCCTCCTCATTTCCAAGTTTCCGCCTTTGCCTAGGCCTTTATTATTCTCCAGTCTTTCGTATGCAGAAACATAAGATTCATCTTTCCCGAATTTTGATTTTACCATGACATTCTTGCTTAAGAATGACGGTGTCTTCCTTTCGATTGGCAGATCAAGTTTAATTTTCTCTGCTTGTCTGTGAAAATGCTGCTTACTGTTGCCAATCGTGCACCACTTCCTGCACCTCCATCCCCCATCCCTCTCTCAGCCCTAGGCAACCACTAATTTATTTTTTATTTCTGTGGATTTGTTTCTTGTGGAAATCTCAAAGAAATGGAATTATACAATATGTGGTCCTTTGTGACTGGCTTCTTTCACTTAGCATGATAATGTTTTCAAGCTCATCCGTGTTGTCATATTCACCAGTACTTCATTTCTTTTTATTGCTGAGTGCTGTTTTATTGTATGGGTATACATTTTATTTATTTTGTTCTTCTTTAAACTCTTGTCTCCTTCTTGAAGTCTTTCCTTATGACATAAACTCTGATAGCACTTGTAGTCTATCCAACAAGACTGTACCACAAAGTAGAAGAGATTGAAAGCTTTCTCTTTGTTTCCTGTGTTTTAGGCTTCAATGCTAATCAGATTGCAGATTCCTTAAATTCAGAGACTGTTTTAGTTCCCTGTAAGGCTTAGCAGAGTGCTGGGCACATAATGTTTACTCACAGATACTTGTTCCTTGGTTAATGCGTTCTCTTAGTGTTAGTAAATATAATAGTGTGTGACAATGTTTTATGTCTATTATTTAACTTGGTTCTTATAAGAATTTGTGAAGTTCTAGGAAACAAGTCAATGCATGGAAATTAGAAGTCATGCTCATGATTTTATGGTGATTGAAATATTTTGAAGAAAGTTAAACTGGATCACTCAATATAAAAAATGTATTAAAGCAATATTTCTGAAAATTTCATTGAAAACTCCCTTCTAAGAATGTATATTTTCTGTGAAATATTTATTCCTTTCGTTCTTAACTAATAAAAAAAGGCTAATTATCTAAGTTAATGTTCTATACATCTTCTTTTTTTAGCAAATGGCTTAAAGTAAAGTTGGTTTTTGAAGGCATCGATACAGTTGCAGTAGTCCTGCTCAATAATATTCCTGTTGGCGAAACAGACAACATGTTCAGAAGCTATGTAAGTACATAATGACATCAGGTTAAAAAGAACCACTTGCATGTATTTGGGTTCATTGTTATCATGAGTGGCAAGTACAGGTCCTTGGATGCACTGGGTAAGTTACTTTATCTCCCAGTTGCCATATTTGTAGAATGATGAAGACACTCAAACCCTATGGAACTATTGTGAGGATATAATGAGCTAATTATATGACGTGATCAGTATTAGTTTTTGGCACATAGGCAATGTTTGACAAATGCTGTTCCCTTCTCTGTTAATTTGGTAATCCAGAGTTTCATGGGAAATGACAGTTGACAAACCATTTTAAAAGAAAATGTTCCTTCCTTTCTGGAACAGTTACCTTAAGAGATTGTATCCTGATCTCCCTTCCCTTTCAAGGGTGGACTTATCGAAACGAAAATAACTTATGACTTAGAAATACATACTATGCATAGCGGAGAGTCAGGTTATCACGAAGTGTCTAGGAAATCCTTGGCGATTCAAAGCCATGTGTGAATAGCCAGAGCAGACATTCCAGGGCTAAAGATAGTCTCTGCTTGCTCTGTTTGCCTAGAACCATCATCTGTCAGTAAAAATAGCAGGAGAAAACCTAGAAATCTATGTTTGCGTAGGAGAATGTGATCAGTTATAACTAAAAGTAGGCAACTAAGTTATACTATTTTGGAGAAGTGCTTTCTCCTGCCAAAAGCCTAAACCTAAAGATTTCAATTATTTTATGCATCTTTCATGCATTCTGCCTATATCTAAAATTTTACACAGGAGGCTACTTTCACATTTGTTCTTTCCCTTTAATTTAGAGCTTTGATATTACACATGTGGTCCAAGCAGTAAACATCCTTGAGGTGCATTTCCAGTCACCAGTGATATATGCGGACCAGAGGAGTAAAGTTCACACTCACTACAGCGTGCCCCCCAACTGCCCTCCGCGTGTGCAGGATGGCGAATGCCATGTCAACTTTATTCGCAAGGTAACAGTCTCGCAATGGAGGGGCTTTAGCCTTGAGGATGGGATGAGGGCGTATGAAATGCTTGTTTGAAGACTCCAGTTGTATTTCAGAAGTTGGGCATCTCTTTCCTGCCCCCTTAAAAATTAGAAATAAGAACCGGGGCTTCCCTGGTGGTGCAGTGCTTGAGGGTCCGCCTGCCGATGCAGGGGACACGGGTTCGTGCCCTGGTCTGGGAGGATCCCACATGCCGTGGAGAGGCTGGGCCCGTGAGCCATGGCCGCTGAGCCTGTGCGTCTGGAGCCTGTGCTCCGCAGCGGGAGAGGCCACAACGGTGAGAGGCCCCCGTACCCCAAAAAAAAAAAAAAAAAAAAAAGAAATAAGAACCAAAAGTTACCAGAATTTTTGTAGAGAGCTTGTCTTTCTAGGTTTCCTTCTTGAGGAGTGCTTCAGAACTTAGATAACGTTGGAAAAAGAAGAAAGATAGGTGACTGATAATGTACCTTTACAATTTTTTTTTTTTTTTTTTGACTGTGCCACGATGCTTGCAGGGATCTTAATTCCCTGACCAGGGATTGAACCCATGCCCCCTGCAGTGGAAGCGCAGAGTCCTAACCAGTGAACTGCCAGGGAATTCCCCCTTTACAATTTTTTTAAAAAACCACCTGGGTTTATCAAACTTTTCACCAGACTGTAGGGTTCATGTTTATGAGTGATTCTTATTACTAGCCTTCTGCAACTGTGCCCCGGTTGAACTGATTGGTTTTGGGCTGTAAGTTCAGAAACCGGGATATCTGAATTCATACTGGAGGAAATAGGAGTTGGCAAGAAACTCTAGTTAGAGTTTCTTAAACTGTTGTATATTTATCTTTCAATATGTTTCTTCATTCTTTATAGTTATTACATTTAAATATGATAGTGGGTGCAGAGATATTTGGGAGAAATTTAAAGAGCGACTATTGTGTTGCTTCAGTGTAATATGCTTTTGAAGAATAAATGTACATAATTAGATTTTATGGTCTTAGAACATTTCTGCCAAATTTAACTATGTTTCCTAGGTTGATAGATTATTTTTTTAGTTATCTATTGCTGTGTAATAATTATACCAAAACTTATCAGCTTAAAACAACATTTATTATCACAGTTTCTGTCAGTCAGGAATGCAGGTGTGGCTTAGCTGGGTACCTCTGGCTCAAGGTCACTCATGAGGTTACTGGCAAGCTGTGGACCAGGGCTGCAGTCACCTTAAGCCTGGATGAGGCCTACCTCAGCTCACCCATGTGGTTGTTGGCAGGCCTCAGATGGGCTTCCAGGCTCACTCATGTGGGCCTCTCTACAGAGCTGCCTTACAGCATGGCAGCTGACTTCCCCCTTGGCCAAGAGAGAGCTGACAGAGCACCCAAAACAGAAGGTGCACTCTTTTATAACCTAATTTTGGACGTGCTCTCACTGCTGTTGTATTCTGTTGGTTAGAAGTGATTCATTAGGTCTAATCTGTACTCAAGGGGAGGGGATTACACAAGGACCTGAATACCAGGAGAGGATCATTTTGGGTCATTTTAGATGCTGTATATGGGACACACACACGCTATTATGGACTTAATTCTGTGCCCCCCAAATTTGTATATTAAAGTCCTAACCCTCAGTAAGGTCAAAATATCACTCTATTTGGAGATGAGGTCTTTAAAGAGGTGATTCAGTTAAATGAGACTGTTAGGATTACTGCTGATCCAGTATGGTTGATACTCTTACAAGAAGCGGAAATTTGGACAACAGAGGGAGACACTAGGGGCATATGTGTGTGTGTGTGTGTGTGTGTGTGTGTGTGTGTGTGTGTGTGTATACAAAAGGCTATGTGAGGGCACAGTGAGAAGGTGGCCATCTGTAAGCCCAGGAAACCAAACCTGCCAACACCTTGATCTTGGACTTCCCAGCCTCCAGAGCTATGCGAAAGTTAATTTCTATTGTTTAAGTCACCCAGTTTGTGGTATTTTGTTACGGCAGCCCTAGCAAACTAGTACACATGTACATAATATTTTAAAAGAAAAAGGTTTTCATAATGTTTAAGTTTCATGGTAATTAGAATCGATCTTCTTTTTTTCCCTTAAAATTGCAGGCACAGTGTTCCTTTAGTTGGGACTGGGGGCCTTCCTTTCCTACCCAGGGCATCTGGAAAGATGTTAGAATTGAAGCCTATAATATTTGTCATCTGAACTACTTCACATTTACCCCCATATATGGTAAGCTAAGAGCTGTGATTTCTTGTTTTTCTTTTTTGAGCCTCCTCTATGTTATAAAAATTGGGTTTATAATTTGAATATATATATAGTTGGCCCTTGAACAACATGGGTTTGAACTGTGCGGGTCCACTTATGTGTGGATTGTTTTCAACAAATACTCCAGTACTACATGATCCGAGGTCTGTCGAATCCATCGATTCAGAACTGTGGATGTGGAGGGCTGACTTGGAGCATCAGTGGATTTTGGTATCTCCAGCAGGTCCTGGAAGCAATCTGCTGTGGATACTGAGGGACAACTGTACTTTTCAGAGACTTATTTAAAAAAAAAATTTATGGCACATTAAATTTAGAAAAGTGAAAAATATGTACAAACTAATTTGTCATGAAAATTTTTTAAAAATTAATTTATTTATTTTTGGCTGTGTTGGGTCTTTGTTGCTGCGCACGGGCTTTCTCTAGTTGTGGCGAGCGGGGGCTGCTCTATGTTGTGGTGCACTGGCTTCTCATTGCCGTGGCTTCTCTTGTTGCGGAGCACGGGCTCTAGGCGCGCAGGCTTCCGTAGTTGTGGCGCACAGGCTTAGTTGCTCCGCGGCATGTGGGATCTCCCTGGACCAGGGCATGAACCTGTGTCCCCTGCATTGGCAGGCGGATTCTTAACCACTGCGCCACCAAGGAAGTCCCTGTCATGAAAATTTACTGTATAAAGCAGTTAAGTAGGTGGGTACCTACATTTTAACATATTCTGAAAAATAAAAAATGAGAGGAGGAAAGAAAGAAAGAGAAGAAAGGAAAGAGGGAGGGAGGGAAGGAAGGAAGCTCTGTTCTCCCAAGCTGTTTCTTAAAAGAATTTGGGCTGCTGGCTTGCACTCCTTTTTGCTGCCCCTGTAGTCACTTTCAAAACTCCATGGTGCTGAGTTCTTGGTTTGCTTAAATCATTGGGCTGACTTTCTGTCACTGCACATTTTCTCCTCTGAAGGCCATGACATACCAGCCTTGTTAAGAGTTGAACATAAACTGGAAGACAGACAAGGCATTAAAGAAGCTCTTATAAGGTAAAGAATACTACTTTTTCAGTTGAAAGTAGCATTAAAGAAAACCTCAGAAATCTCACAGATGTCAATGAATTGGTTAAAAACTGGTCAAATATTTGTTGAGTTCTTTGCCCAGTACTGTGTGTATTTGGCATAGAAAAGAAGTATAACGTGTTTACTTATCCCTGCAAGTTGGTTGAGGTGGGGAGGGGAGATATAAACAATTATCAAGCCAAACTAAATTGTGTCATAGTCTTTGGGATGGCAGCCCCAGTAGTTCAGAAAACCAGAGATCAAAGGATTTGAGAAGTTAGGGAAATCAGGGTGAAGGTGGAGGCAAATGGGATTTTAAATGATAACTCATGATGCTCAGTCCAGATCCGTGCAGGCCTAACTAGATGAAGTCTGTAAGCAAGTATGTGGTGTGTCCATACAAGAGCTCTGTTGTCTTTAGGGCCCTGGTGACCCTAGATTGCTCTTCGATGGAGCCAGATCTGTGTTTTCTAAAGGCAGAAGACAAAAGCATATCAGAGACGGTTGATAATTGAGGAAGTTATTAGGTGCTGCTGGCATTTTTTTTTTTTATAAATTTATTTATTTATTTTTGGCTGTGTTGGGTCTTCGTTTCTGTGCGAGGGCTTTCTCTAGCTGCGGCAAGCAGGGGCCACTCTTCATCGCGGTGCGCAGGCCTCTCACTATTGCGGCCTCTCTTGTTGCGGAGCACAGGCACCAGACGCGCAGGCTCAGTAGTTGTGGCTCACGGGCCTAGTTGCTCCGTGGCATGTGGGATCTTCCCAGACCAGGGCTCGAACCCGTGTCCCCTGCATTGGCAGGCAGATTCTCAACCACTGCGCCACCAGGGAAGTCCGCTGCTGGCATTTTTAAATGCTTAAAAGGCATTGGAAGATCTAATGTAAATTGCACATATAAATGTGGCTGTTTAGAGCTTTCTAGTTTAGTGTTTCTCAAACTTTTCTTCAGAGGCTCCACCCGAATTGAGCCTTGCTATGAAATCAAATACATAATGGTTCACTCCCCCCCATCCCCACCCATAATTTTTCTCAGGTGTATATAATAAAACCTACTGTAAGAAGGGGTCTGATTTTGCCAAAAGTTATTTATTTAATAGTTTTGAAGTTTAATCAGTGTTTTAGGTGGTTAGCAAAAAGTGCTATGAGTTCCAGGTATCCTGATATCTGAAAAAATTTGAATAACACTGCTCTAGTTTAATTTAAAATTTTGAATATGAAGCTAAACATTTCTTCCTGAGTATGAGTCATTAGGGTTCAGTTTATTCACCATTAGTGACTGAGTGAATTTTATTTGAATTCAATCAATTTAAGTGATGCTTAAAATTTCATTTAGACTCGGTATAATCAGTTATCCATATCAACCACATTTTTGATGTTCTATGGCTACAATATATTTTGTACTTAACATAGGGAAAAATATCTTTCCTGTTCAGAAGATGTGTCCTGTGCATATTAAGCAGTAATTCTTATATTTTTGATTAATTTTATAGATTTCAGTGTGGTTACTTGATGTAATAGAGAAAATTGAAGCATAAACTTATGAAAGCATTAGGAGAGGAACTTCCTTTAGGATTTTTTCAGAATTTTTTTTTTTCAGTTTGTATTTGGAAGATAGCAATCATTACTGAAATCAATAGAAACTTAGAAGTTGAAAATAATAGAGAATAAACTAATATATTCTGGATACTTTTTGCATTTATTTGGTACACAGTTTGAGGCAGGCATTGAGAGTTACTAAACATTTTTTAAAAGGATTAGTTCATAATCAAAAGTAGATACATGTAATTTTTATTTTAAATCAAATACTGTATTCATTTTTAAGATTTAAGTGTGAAATGAGGTTAGTCAAAACTAATGCAAGCAGTGGCTAATCTCTGTATAATAGTACTACAGATAGTTTGTGTTTTATTCTTCTAGATTTTTATATTGAGCCTATATTGTCTCTATAATAAGGGAAGAAAGCAGTTAAACTAATCTAGTACCTAGTAATTTCAGCCAGCTTATTATGAAAGGCTAAACTACTTTGACTTTGTGGCACTTTCTGCTTTCTGCCTATTGAGGCTAGAAGAAAATAACCTTTTTGCTTTTCCAAATGTTGAATTTATTTCTTAATTTAAAATTAGTGAGTTTAACCCTAAAGACCAAATGACCAACCATAGTTCCCCAGTTTAATTGTATAAAATATAACAGAAAAAAGGCTGTTAGACTTTTAAAAACTAGCTTGAAATTTTTGTGAATTAATTCGCTTTATGTATATATTTTTTCTTTTCTGCCTTCTTAATCCTTAGCATAGTGGTTTCTAAACTTTTGTGCTTTTGAATATCCTTTGGTCATTTGTTTGATTTTGCCCTAACCTCAGCTTCCTAAATGATTTTCACATATTCTTAATATTTAAGGTAATAAAAGCAAATTTATATTTGGAAAAAATACTGAGGTCAAAGGGAAACAAGAGTTACTCTCATTATCTCTTAGGCTCTTGCCATTTATCTGGGTTTTGAGAGATACCAACTTATTGATGTGACTTTCTCTAAAACGTCATTAGAAAATATTTATTTGAATGTCTGTATGTGTGTGTGTGAGAGAGAGAGACATATATTCATTTATTGATCATCTCCGTGCTAAGTCTTTCATATTTGTAATCTGATGTAAATTGTTCATATTAGGCCCTAAAATTTGTTAGGGAGGGATGGTTGTCTAGTTTTATGAACTTTTCTTAAGGTTACATAGACATATTAAGTCCAAATATATAATAAGTATGTTCTGATGAAACACTGCATTGTTTAATCTTCTGTTACCGCAGTTAGAAAGAAATAAAATAGAGATGTTCTTCAACATGTAAATCTTCCTGTTGAGCTGAGGTGAGCTGTGGATCTTTGACCTGTGCTTGGGCAATTCCGTTCCTCGGAGATGCTGCCTTCCCGACCGTATCCACATTTACTTGCTGCCTTAGCCTAAAGCACCCCGTCTCTTCATTCTTGAAGACATAGCCTTTGAGTTGGAAGAGTGGGCCTACCTCCTAGCTAGACCCTAGCCTGCCCAACAGTGGCCTTTATTGAAGGTCATTGCTGCCCTTTGCTTACAGCTTAATATAGAGAATATAATATTACAACGTAGCAAAGATTTGTCAGTCTTGCTTAGTGCCTTGTTTATTGCATTCCTTTTTGAATGCAAGCATGCATTCACTTTTTTCTTACATTCATTTTGAATCACTTTTTCATTACCCATAAAATGATGGTATTCACCCTTGAAAATATATTTATGGGTAGGTAGGTTGCTTGAATAATCTCTGAGTAGCTGCCTTGTTGTGTAAGTCGATTTTTTTTTTCTCTAGAACTTATCAATTTATGTTGTTTGGTGGGGGGGTGGTGGTGGGATTTTGCTTTGTGTCTGTTTTGTTTTGATTTCATCTTTGAGGAATTTGTCCTGCTGAATAGGCAAGGAGATCTTGCTGCTTGAGAAAGAAGGGGAAAACAGCTGTTGTAACTAACTATAAGCCTGCTTTTCTGGCTAATGCAAGCTGTTAGCTCTTTGAAAAGCAGCTACTGTAGCCTGTCCTCTAATTCTGGCAGAAGCATGGGGATGTATCCTATGTTTGAATTTCAGCATTCTGTGGCTCGTTGTCATTGCTGTTCCTTCAGATGCACAAGGCTATCTCTTCATTGCAGCTTTGCATCGCCTATGAAAGATGCAAGATGAAGCGAGCAGGTAGGAGGAGGAGCTGGGAGGAGCTCAGTAGGGCTAATCAGGGCAGCCATGTTTGAATAGCTTGCCCCCCAGTGAGAGGAAGCATCTTTTACATCTTACATGAGCAGTCCACCAACGTTTGCAGATCCATCCCATGCTGACCTGAGTGTGCTTCCATGGCCCTGCTGGTTCTTAGCCCTTCCAAATGCCATCCTGTATTTTTTTTTTTTTTCTTTCTTTCTTTTTGCGGTACGCGGGCCTCTCACTGCCGCGGCCTCTCCCGTTGCGGAGCCTGTGCTCCGGACGCGCAGGCTCAGCGGCCATAGCTCACGGGCCCAGCCGCTCCGCGGCATGTGGGATCTTCCCAGACCGGGGCACGAACCCATGTCCCCTGCATCGGCAGGCGGACTCTCAACCACTGCGCCACCAGGGAAGCCCCATCCTGTATTCTTAACTGTGACCTTCGGGTATATTTTGTTTCTTTAAGTAGATTCAACATCTTTGCTCTTTGCGATTGGGGTATAATTTATAGTGCCTGTCAGGTTTCACAGACAGTAATTATTCAAGAAATATATTTCCACTGTTTGGCAGAAATGCTCACATAACTGTTGTCATGCCTTTGTCAGGTAGTTTAGGTTACAAAGATAGTGTTTTGACAAATGGAGGAGCTGTGGCACCATGTAATTATGCATTTAGTGGAAGGTCAGACACATTCTTTATGTTTGTAGATTTCAGTGTTTTTTCTTTTTTAGAAAGACACTCATATTAAGAGACTAATATTTTATGGTTACAGTCCCTTCAAATGCTTTGTTTCACATTATACGTATTTGCTATTAGGACTTAGGATTCTGAAGGACAAAAAGCACCTTTGCTTTTGGTCTTCCTCATTATTCATATGCAAATTTCAATCTCTGTGCGCCTGCTAGTGTCTTTCTTTTTGATAGGCGCCTCTGTGGGAGATGCGTGGAAGGTAGAGAGCCCTGGAGTTAGGAAACCTGGGCCCTTGCCCTGTCCACTGGCTCGGGAGCTTTGAGCTAGTTCTGCAGTCAAGGGCCTCAAATACCACAACTAAAAGTAACTAGGAGATGGCCAAGTTTCTTTTGCCTCTAACATTCCACAGTTCTTTCCTGGTGTTTGTAAATTACAGCACTCATTACAGCCTAGTGAGGGTGTAAGTGTGGAAGAACCAGTTTTTTTTGAAGCTAGATATATGATTAAATGAAGGTACTGATATTTGAGGCTTAATTACAATCAGTTAAAGCAAGGCTTAAGGTGTAGTTTGAGAGTAACTCTTTCTGTAGTTATGGACACACTTGAATTAATGTAATTCATCCGTCTTCTTATTTTTCTACCTCCATGTCTTCCTATACGTTTTTTTTTTTTTCTCTTAGACAACCGAATAAAGCTGTTTTTTGTTTTTTTAAAATTTTTATCCTGACCACATCTTGACAAAGAAGTGGACTATATGGGACTATAAAAGGAGCTGGCACATTTTAGAAGGTTTTAAAAGTTAATGTACTGGGACTTCCCTGGTGGTCCAGTGGTTAAGAATCCACCTTCCAATGCAGGGGACGTGGGTTTGATCCCTAGTAGGGATCCCACATGCCACGGGGCAACTAAGCCCCTGTGCTGCAACTACGGAGCCCACGTGCTGTAGAGCCTGCATGCCACAACTAGAGAGAACCCCGCATGCCACAACAAAAGATCCCGCACACTGTGACGAAGATCCCGTGTGCCGCAACAAAGACCCGACACAGCCAAATAAATTTAAAACAGAAGAAAAGGTTAAATGTATTGGCCACATCTACACAAATTGGAGTTTGTCCTGAAGATTGTTTGCATGAAGAAGCAGCACACGTTCATCTGGACTGTGAGGCTGGTTACCCTTCCTACAAATTCCCATCCGAGTCAAACTCATGATGATTTGTTTGTTTGTTTTTGAAGAAACCTCACTGAATCAGCTTTGGAAGAATCTGAAAATGAGTCAATGGCCAGAACCACATTCTCTACCATGCCCTGGGTTGCCCACCTGGTTGAGGTTAAATGGAACAAACTATAGACTGTAGTGTCTTCTGCAGGGAGCAGGGCATCAGCTAGGACATCGCTGAGGCTCCAGGCCAGGGAAGGCCTCAAGTTGTAGAGAGAGCTCATCAGCTTGCTCTCCACCCTGTTTTGATAAGGAGTTCCTGTCCTGTTTGGGCCCAGGGTTGATTAGTCAGGGTGAGGAAGGATGCAAAACTTGGTGTCATTGAGAGGGAGACCTGGGAGGGGATTTTAAGTCATTTAGTAAACTTTCTTCTTTCTTATCCCATCCCCGGTACTTTGTCCATTTTTGAAATGATCTTGCATTCCACTTCACGAGAGCTGGGGGTGATAGGTATTCTTTAGGAAAGGATAACTTGTTAGTGCTGGAAGAGATATACTGGGAAGCTGCATTCTAGGAATGGGTCTTGATTCATAAGGGGGAGCTCTCCTTAACTAGAAATAAGATTATACATTTTAAAATTAGCCAGTGAAAAGAAGTGACCAGATAATACCAGGAAAATTATTATTTAAGACTCTCAGTATGCTCTGTGAACCTAAACTACTGAAATTCTCCATGGAATTCTCCTCCTGGAAGGAAGCATTGTACTTCATTTGGAAGAAGAAAAGTGCAAAATATGTTGTTGTAGGGTATTTGGTAATGACACGATAGGCTTGTAAATCTTCATGTTGGGTTTTTAATTCCTCAGCTTTAGTTTTTTCATTTAGTGGCACCCGAGGGAGTTAACAGGATGAGCTCCAGAGGGGTGCCGATTTACTTTAGAACCTTCCATGTTAGAAGCAATAGAAACTGGACAATTTTGCCGGTAACCTTTGGGAATTACTCTGTTTGTCTTCCTTCTGGAGGCCCTTACAAGCAGCTGATTCTCTGCTGAAGAAGTGATAGGAAACGGCCAAGGAGCCTGCCTTTAAAAAAAAATTTTTGGCTACACTGCACGGCATGTGGGATCTTAGTTCCCTGACCAGGGATCAAACCTGTGCCACCTGCACTGGAAGGCGGAATCTTAACCACTGGACCACCAGGGAAGTCCCAGGGAGCGTGCTTGAACTTGGTGGTTATTGGTTGGTAGGAGAGGCCTAGAGGGCATCTCTAGATGGAAATGAGAGAAAAGTGGATTTCACATCAGTGTAGAGGACGACTTTCCAATAGTGAAGGCTAGCAGAAAGGGAGGCAGAGGTTTTTGTCATTATATTATAGGTATTAAAGACAGATTAGAATGGCCTTTCAGGGGAAATATATTAGGGTAGAGATCAGCAAACTTTTTCTGTAAAGGGTCAGCTAGTGAGCATTTTCGCTTTTTGGGCCATATGGCCTTTGTTGCAGTTACGCAACTCTGCCTTTGTAGCATGAAGGCGACCAAAGACAATACGTAAAATGTGGGCATGGCTGCTGTCTGGCCTGCTGGGCTGCCATGATGAAATACCAAAGACTGGTTGGCTTCAGCCACAGAAATTGACTTCTTACAGTGCTGGAAGCTGGGAAGTCCAAGATGAAGGTGCCGGCTGATTTGCTTTGTGTTGAGGGCCTGCTTCCTGGCTTGTAGATGGCCAGCTTTCTAGTTGTGTTCTCGCATGGTTGGGGGCTGAGGGGGTGTGCGGGGAGAGAGAGAGAAAGAAAGAAATGGATCTCTTCCTCTTCTTATAAGACTACTGTCCTATCAGAATAGGACCCCACCCTTATGAACTCATTTAACCTAATTACCTCCTAAAAAAACCCTTTCTCCAGATGGAATCACATTAGGGGTTAGGGCTTCAACATATGAATTTTGGGGGGAATGATACAATTCAGTCCATAGCAGCTGTGTTCCAATAAAATTTTATTTATAAAAATAGGAGGTGGTCCAGATTTGGCCCAAGGACCATAGTTTGCTAGCCTGTGGTCTAGAGGGAATCAAACACATCGGAAAGTAGACCAGGTGATCTGTCAGCATACTTCTAGTTCACCAGTTTTGTGAATCTGTGCTGTTTTGGTCAAAGACTCAGCCAAAGGACATATTTGATGTCTAGCATAGCTTGACATCATTAAATGTTCTCCTATATAATAAGATCCTCTCCCCACTGTAAAACTCCTGAGCACCACTAAGATGTGGTTTGGGGGAAATTATTTGGATTGAGTTGGCAGAATTTAGAGGTTAAATGTTTTAGAGGTCTCTAGTTTTAGACTGTCTTGGTTCACATCTGCCACTTACTAGCTGTGTGATCTTGGGCAAGTTACTTAATTTCTCTGTCTCAGTTTTCTCATTTATAAAATGATGATAGTAGTGGAATTTACCTTATAGCAATGGTGTGATGCTTAAATAAGTTAATACTTGTTGAGAGCATAAAACAATGCCTGGCTCATAGTAAGATCTTGGTAAATGTTATCTATTATTATTTCTTGAAATAAGAGATAGTAAGGGAAACCAGAGGGAATATGATTTCGAGTTAAAGGTGAGGTAGCTGTCAAAGATTTAGGGATGTTTTAGAAAATAAACAGCTTTGGATCAGATTGGAGTGTGTGCTTCTGTTTAAGAACAATAAAAATGCGGTAAAGGGAATATGAATATTTTTCTAAACAACCTTTAATTCTCCATCCTAGTATTATCACACGTTTGTACTTGTCCACATCCCATTAGGCCCTTAGCTCATGAGGGCAGGGGCCGTGTTTATTTACCCTGGTGACTGTTTAAGTCCCATCACTTAGCAAAGAACATGGCACTTAGATGGTTCTCAGTACACATTTATTGGATAAATAATTACATTTAAAATGCATCTTTATTTTTTCCACATTGGATTAATTCTAATACACCTAAGTTTATAACTTATTATATGGCTTAAAAACCTTCAGTATTTTTACTTTATAAAAAGGAACAAGCAAGTATGTTTGATAAATCAAGACTGATAAATCTTGGAAGATTTATGTTATCTTTTCATTTGTAATTTTCTATTTGTGCCATATTTATAAAGTTTTTGTGACTTATGATTGTAACATTTTTAGAGTAGAAGTATATATAAAAATATAATTTTGGCTATTCTTCTTCAGAATTAAGGATTAAACTCTAAACATTAAAAGAGAATTTTCACTGAACTTTTGATCAGGATTGCATTTGTGGAGCACTTATAGTTTAGAAGCTGCTTTGGCCTTTTTTTCAGTGAATCCTACATAATATATATGTATTTTTTCTTTTTCTCTTTATACCTTAGATAATAATATCCAGGAGTGGAATCTTGAAATAGAGTCTTCTTTTGATGTTATCAGTTCAAAGCCAGTTTTGGGTCAAGCGATTATAGCCATCCCTGAATTAAAAATACAACAGACAAACAGCATTGAACTTCATCATGGGGAAAGGATTGTTAAACTCTTTGTGAAAATTGACAAGGTGAATGATGGTACTTCCCGAGAAGCACTAAGATGAAAAGCAGTGTTGTTCAAAAGAAATGCTTAGAAAAAAGGACCTGAGTATTAAAGAAAAGTGTACTTTTTCCATTTTTTTCTTTACTTTTAATCGGTTATATATTTTGTGTGTGTGCAAGCTAAGGAATGATTTTCCCAAATTTTAAGATTAAGAAAACGGAGGTTACATGATTAATTTGGCATCCTCTCCTCTCAAAAAGTCAGGTGTGTTATATTTTAATTTTTTTGCAGTATTTGGAGTATCCTAAATCCAAAATACATTCTAAGCATCATACTTCAATGCTGTGATTATTTTTGGTATTTGTAAACTATTTTGAATATTGGTACTTATTCTACATACAGAATTCTAATTCTAAACTTACGATCTTTCGTAAGTAGAAGTGAACTGGATTTTACCTTTTCTTATTCCTCTAATTGACAATTGTGAGCTGAAAAGGATAGAGCAAATCAGCATTCAGTAACTGTCCAGATAAAGTAAGAACTCAAAACGCTTTTCTAGTTCTGGGCTTGAAAGAAGAGTTAACCTCAAAGTCCAATTCTAAATGTTAAGAATGTAGAATACATGTTAGCTGAGTGTTGCAATGGGAAGAGCTGTTTTTCTGAATGCCCATGTTATTTTGTTATTTCCCTTCCCTTCTGGTATATTGATCCATGCTAAACTCCTAGCATGTTCATTTTTAAATAATTTGGCATAATACAAGGAGAGAGATTTATATTGCTCTGTGCTTGTCTATGAGAAATTGATGTGATGCTCTGAATTACTATATTATTTTGCTGAAAATATGCCACAGATTACTTAGACTGACATATTATTTTTTAAAAGAGTGTTACTATAGAAACTTGGTGGCCTCATGGACATGGAAACCAGACTGGGTACAACATGACAGTTCTTTTTAAGCTGGATGGAGGCTTAAGTTTTGAAAAATCAGCTAAGGTAAGCAAATACTTTAAGATATTTTGTGAAAAAAAGTATATTTCTTGTTAAAATAGCAATACAGATCTTTGTAGGAAAAGAAGAAACCAACAAAACTTCTGCAACCCCACCACTCAGAGATAATTAGTAGTAATAGTTATATTCATTCAGAAGCTTCTGGTATGTGTATATTTATATTTTTTAATGGACCAGACTTTGCACATTATTTTATTTATAAATATTCTCCTACTGTGTTTTTTTTTTTGCGGTATGCGGGCCTCTAACTGTTGTGGCCTCTCCCGTTGCGGAGCACAGGCTCCGGACACGCAGGCTCAGCGGCCATGGCTCACGGGCCCAGCCGTTCTGCGGCATGTGAGATCCTCCCGGACCGGGGCATGAACCCGTGTCCCCTGCATCGGCAGGCGGACTCTCAACCACTGCGCCACCAGGGAAGCCCTATGGTATTTTTTCATTTAGGTGTGGGGCAGGATGAGAGCTTGTAGTGGAGCATATAAGATCAGGGTTACTCTCAGGAGAGGCTATGCCCTAGTCAAGGTTGTTTATTCCAGAACAGGTAACTGAGGAACATCTCAGAATTCATTTGCAGTGGGAACTCTAAAGAGTGTTTGTCTATTTGTCCACTTGACTGGGATGGTAGAGGTTGGATTGAATGATCTCTTGTGCCTCCCTGCACTTCCATGATTGCTCAAAAGAGGAAACCAGGATGCTTTAAAAATTTGAGCTGTTTTGCAAGTTTCAGGAATCAATGTTTGCTTTTGAAATTTAGATTAAAAGTATAGGTTATTGCCAAATTTGGTAAGAGAGCTGATACCTAATTCACCTTTGTTTCCATCCAGGGTAGGTCTTCCAGGGAATTCAGTTTCTTGGCAGTCCCGAATTTCTTAATGTTTTCAGAGCTGCCAGTGTTTCAGCAAGCAAGAAATTCGACTGCTATGTGCCGTCATTGCCTGTTTTCTCTCAGTTTGATTTCTTTCCAGCCTTTATTTGGTGGGAATGTGTCAGACTGGGATTTCTTTTTTATTTATTGTGTAGTATAACACACAAGAGAAAAAAACCAGAACATAAATGGAACACTTAACGAATGATCAGAAAATGAACACTCACGTGACTGTCATCCTGATCCAGAAACAGGAGCATTACTAGCACCTCAGAGCTTCCCCACTCTGTGCGAGCTTCCCCAATCATTGCCCCCTTTCCTTCCCGTAGATCCACTGTCCTGACTTATAACACTATATTCTATTTTTGCCTGTTTTTAAATTTTATGTACATAGAACCACATAGTTTATATTCTTTTATGACTGGCTAATTTGGCTCAACATTATATTTGTGACATTTAGATATGTTGTGGTGTGTAGCTGTAGTTTGTTTACTTACGTTGCTTTGTACTATTTCATTGTATTACACATTCTGCTGTTGAATTTGGGTAGTTTCCAGTTTTGGCTTTCTTGGATAATGCTGCTATGAACTTTATCGTATGACACTCGGAGCACATATGCCCCCAACAGCGTTCCTGCTGGAGTGGGATTGCTGGATCATAGGGTAGGCATGGGTTCAGCTTTTACAGAGAATGCTAAATTGTTTTCCAAAGTGTTTGTATTTCACCTTTACTCTGCACGCTCCCATGTTCGCTAACACTTGGTACTGTATCAGAGGGGTATTTTTCCCTCATCACTGGCCTCTCCCTATCTGCTCTCTACTGCTGATGTTTCCTGATGGTTTCATTGTTATCCTGGGCTTGCTTTACGCAAAAATATTTCTATTTTTAAAGTATCTCATTGAAATCCATATTGCTAGGTTTATATCTTTCTTGCCTGTCTTCCATCAACGTTAGACGTATGCGTTTTAATCTTTTGTTTACTGGGCACGTCAGAAGACGACAGCACAGTCTCCGACGGAACGCCTTGGGGAAGTTACAGATTGTGGTTGCAGCCCACGCAGGCAGAGATGTACTGGGTCATAAAAAGAATGCAGGTGCTGTGGGGAAGGGAAAATGCTGACTCTATTTCTTTTGGACGGGAAAGAATATCTTGATGACTGAGATTTTTGTTGGTGTTGTTAAAAGGAGTAGCTTCGGAGCAAATGGTTTAAGTATGAGGGGAGATAATTAATGAGTACTTCAAAAACAAATAAATTAGGGCTTCCCTGGTGGCGCAGTGGTTGAGAGTCTGCCTGCCGATGCAGGGGACACGGGCTCGTGCCCCGGTCTGGGAGGATCCCACATGCCGCAGAACGGCTGGGCCCGTGAGCCATGGCCGCTGAGCCTGTGCTCCGCAACGGGAGAGGCCACAGCAGTGAGAGGCCCACGTACCGCAAAAAAAAAAAAAAACAAAAAAAACACAAATTAATTAATTAATTAAAAAATAAAAGCAAATGTTGGGATATTATAAAGTCTGTCAAGCAAGTTATTTCAAGAGGGACCTTAGAATGTGAGTGTGGGAGCGTTGGCTTTATCAGTTTAGGAAACCAACTTGATTTTTTAACACAAAAGAAAGCTTTGTGTCTAAATGGTAGTGGGAGAGGCTACTCTGGGTAAATGGAATAAAAAAAAAAAATCTTCCCCATGACTGTTTTGGCCATTTTCTGCTCTAATTGAATATTTGTATTCTACTAATTGATTGTATTGAATTGCCTAGGTAGTATGTGTGTTAAGAGCATAATAAATATTTTGGAATGACTGTTATGGTTTACCTTTTTGGAAAACTAGGAAATCACTTAGTTGATATTTCACTTTAGCACAACTTACTTTGTAAGACTCTTCCAAGTATTCCCTATATAAGGTAAATCTTTTTGCTGAAAGCAAGAGAAGGTAGTTGCTGTTTATATTTGACCTGGCATCAAGATTCTCCAATTAAATTACTGTAGGGGAAGAAAAAAATGTAATCATATGTATTCCACAATCAGAAATTATATTGCACAGTTCCCAAGCCAGAAGAGGTAAAAGATTGCCCCTAGCTATTACAATTAGAAAAATAACGGAGATTTCCTTTACTGTTTTGTTTTTTAAAAACTTCACTTTGTTCTTTGTTTCTTGAGTTCCCAGTTTCATCTTTGCAATATGCACAGGGCAGAAAGAGGTCCCAGTGCCACTTCCTCTTTCAAAGTGAGGTCCCAGTGCCACTTCCTCTTTCAAAGTGCTACTCTTGGCTCTCTCAAGACCTTAAAAGCACATAGCCAAAAAATATGGAATTCAGAATAATCAGTGTGTATTTCTGACCACTTCTGTACTTTTGATCAATACTGAGGGTCCACAGAGACGTGAAGTGTGTTTCCTTCTGTATTTCCCAGGTTTCCTAGGACAGCCATAACAAATGAGTAGCTTAAGATAAAAATAATTTATTTTCTCACAATTTTGAAGGCTGGAAGTCCAAAATCAAGGTTTTGGTAGGGCCATGTTCCTTCTGAAGTTTTCAGGGAAGGATCCTTCCTTGTCTCCTCTAGCTTCTGGTAGTTACTGCTAGTCCTTGGCATTTCTTGGCTTGTGGATGCATCACTCCAGTCTCTGCCTCTGTCGTCATATGGCCTTTTCCCTGTGTGTGCCTCTGCTTTTCTTTTCTTTTTTTTTTCTCAATTAGCTGTATCTCATTATCACCCCTTCAGATCAATAAATCAATCATTCCTTCTTTTTGATAATTTAATTTAATTTATTTATATTTGGCTGCACTGGGTCTTCGTTGCTGAGCGTGGGCTTTTCTCTAGTTGCGGCGAGCGGGGGCTACTCTTTGTTGTAGTGCGTGGGCTTCTCACTATGGTGGCTTCTCTTGTTGCGGAGCACGGGCTCTAGGCACGCGGGCTTCAGTAGTTGTGACTCGCGGGCTCTAGAGCGCAGGCTCAGTATTTGTGGCTCATGGGCTTAGTTACTCCGTGGCATGTGGGATCTTCCCGGACCAGCGATTGCACTGTGTCCGCTGCATTGACAGGCAGATTCTTAACCACTGCACCACCAGGGAAGTCCCTCTGCTTTTCTTATAAGGATACTAGCCACTGGATTAGGGCCCACCCTAATTTGGTATGACCTCATTTTAACTTAACTAACTGCATGTTCAAAGACCGTATTTCCAAATAAGGTCACATTCTGAGTTTCTGAATGACATGTATTTTGAGGAAACACTGCTCAACTCAGTACACCTTTCTTTTATCCTTCTCCCTGTCAAAGTTAAACATTTCCAAAATGGCTACAGGCAGTGGCTTACCCAGAGTGGGCTATGGGAGCAGTTAGCATTGGGTGTAGGCAGCAAGTGGTTGCATTGTGTGTAGACGACAGGTGGCCTGTCTTTTATTAGTAGTATGTTCTGACAATTTTGTGCAACATCAGTGATAAAATATTCCTCCCCCCAGAATCTTTTGTTGGTCTGTTTTACCCATGTGTGCAATTGTACTTGAGTTTTAATACCATATGTGTAGGCTTCAATGTAGCATATTTTTATTATTAACCCTCTAATAAATATTGTATTCTACATGGAAGTGAATTTGGAGAACTTTTATATGGTTGTCCCCAGGCTCATGGGGACTTAGCTTCATACAGTCATTTTGAAAGTATGTTCATAACAGTTTGGAATTGTTTAAACTTGTTTTGGGCATAGTTCATGTCCCTAGTCCCTGTCTTATTACATATTCTTGCATTTAAAAGTAGATTAGAAACAGTAGCACAGTAGTTATAAAAAAGAAGAAACTCAACATGAGTTACTTCATTGTGACCTCTTGGAGTTCTTATTTTTATGTTTAAACTTTAAAATGGAAAGAAATAATTGATAAGCTGGATTTTATTAAAGTTAAAGACTTCTGCTTTGCCAAAGACAATGTTAAGAGAATGAGAAGACAAGTCACGGATGGGAGAAAATATTTGCAAGGGACACATCTGTTAAACAAAATATGTAAAGAACGCTTAAAACTCAACAATAAGAAAACAGATAACCCAATTAAAAAATGGATCAAACATTTAACAGACATCTCACCAGAGAAGAGATACAGATAGCAAATAAGCATGTGGAAAGATACTCCAC